TAATCGTTAATGAAGAGAGGAATAGTCGGATATTTATCTTTTTGAAAAAAAAAAAAAAATAGGTGATTATTGGAATTGTTGGTGGGTGGGGTTTAAGGGTGGTTCCAAGATGGGGGTGAATTAACGGTTTACCGAGGATGTATCGACGATTAATTAACGGTCTAATTAAATTGCCAGAGGAGAAGTCGATAAGTTGAAAACGGGGTCTTTTGTGGCCTGTTTCACAATATAAATTACCTTAGACGGTTTCCGACCGTTTTCGACTCGCTTAGTTTACGTTTTAATGGATGTATTTTAAATGTTGTATAAATCATTAATTAAAACCGCCCTGTTAACTTCAAAACTTTCAAATTTTCATTCAATTTAAAATAAACAAGACAAAAATTTTGCAAGAATTTGTATATTTTTGTTTGAATTCGATGAAATTCACTTCTTTAAAGACAAAAATCAGTGAATCAGTGTGGGTTGTTATTAGATAAACGTTTCAAAAAATGTTATTAAGAAAAATTGTTAAGAATCTAATTTTAGATAATCATTATTTGAAATATTTTTTGATATCTTCAATTATTACTCATTTCTGAAAGTCAGTGAATTAGTGTAGAGCACTAACTAATCAAAATAGCAAAAAATGTCATTAAGAAAAATTGTTTGTAAGTTTATTTCAAGCAACTATTATTTGAAACATTTTTTGATTCAAGCAATAATTACGTTTGTGTTGAAAGTCAGTGAATTAGTGTAGCTCGTTATTTAATAAAAATATCAACAAATGCTATTAAGAAAAATTGTTAAAGATTTAGTTTAAAACAACTATTATTTGAAACATTTTTTGATACAATTAATATTTACTCTTTTTTGAAAATCAGTGAATCAGTGTAGAGCACTAAGTAATCAAAATAGCAAAAAATTTCATTAAGAAAAATTGTTTATAACTTTATTTTAAGCAACTATTATTTGAAACATTCTTCGTTTTAAGCAATAATTACGTTTGTATTCAAAATTAGTGAATCAGTGTAGCGCCCAATTAATGCTAATATCATAAAAGCCCTAAAACCCTAAATCATAAAATGTTATTAAGAAAAATTGTTTGAAACCTTATTTCAATCAACTATTATTTGAAACACTTTTTTCGATTAAAGCAATAATTACGTTTGTGTTAAAAGTCAGTGAATCAGTGTAGAGCACAAAGTAATCACAATGGCAAAAAATTACATCAAGAAAAATTGTTACTAATATATGTTGAAAATCAGTTAATCGGTGTAGCTGGTTATTTAATAAAAATATCAAAGCAAGTTATTAGGAGAGACTGTTAACGATTTAGTTTCAAGCAACTTTTACCTGAAACATAAAAAATAATTACTTATGTGTTGAAAATCAGTGAATCAGTGTGACTGGTTATTTAATAAAAATATCAAAAAATGTTATTAAGAAAAATTATTAAGGATAAATTACAACTATTGTTTGAGACATTTTTGGATTCAATCAATATTTACTGTTTTATGAAAATCAGTGAATCAGTGTAGAGCACATTTTTTTAGTTGTATCAAAAAATGTTTCAAGTAACAGTTACTTGAAATAAGATTTTAAACAATTTTTATTAATAACTTTCTTTGATATATTCATTAATTTCGTTTCTACACTGATTCACTGATTTTGTACAGAAAAGTAATAATGACTTGAATCAAAAAATGTTTCAAATAATAGTAGTTTGAAATTAGATCGTTAACATTTTTTCCTAATAAATGTTTTTGATATTTTTATTAAATTACGAGCTACACTGATTCACTTATTTTCAACAAAAAAGTAATTTTTAGTTGTATCAAAAAATGTTGCAAGTAATAGTTGCTTGAAATAGGATTTCAAACAATTTTTCTTAATAACTTTTTTCGATATTTTCATTAATTTCATTTCTACACTGATTCACTGAATTTCAAAAAGGAGTAATTATCGATTATATCGAACAATGTTTCAAACAATAGTTGCTTGAAATAAAGCTTCCAACAATTTTTTTTAATACATTTTTTTAATACTAACTTTAATTAGTGCTCTACACTGATTCAATAATTTTCATAAAACAGTAAATATTGATTATATCCAAAAATGTTTCAAATGATAGTTGCTTGAAATTGAGTTCTTAACAATTTTTCTTAATAATATTTTTTGATATTTTTATTAAATAACGAACTACACTGATTCACTGATTTTCTACAGAAAAGTAATAATGACTTGAATCGAAAAATTTTTCAAATAATAGTTGTTTGAAATTAGATCGTTAACATTTTTTCCTAATAACATTTTACGATATGTTTATTAAACAACGAGCTACACTGATTCACTTATTTTCAACACTAAAGTAATTTACGGTTATATCAAAAAATGTTTCAAGTAATAGTTGCTTGAAATACGATTTTAAACAATTTTTCTTAATAACTTTCTTTGACATTTTTATTAATTTCATTTCTACACTGATTCACTGAATTTCAAAAAGGAGTAATTATCGATTATATCGAACAATGTTTCAAACAATAGTTGCTTGAAATAAAGCTTCCAACAATTTTTCTTAATACATTTTTTTGATACTTACTTTAATTAGTGCTCTACACTGATTCACTGATTTGCAAAAAAGAGTAAATATTGATTGTATCCAAAAATGTTTCAAATAATAGTTGCTTAAAATTCAATTCTTAACAATTTTTATTAATAATATTGGTATTTCCATAAATTAGTGCTCTACACTGATTTTCAAAAAAGGGTAAATATTGATTGTAACGAAAAATGTTTCAAATAATAGTTGCTTAAAATTGAATTCTTAACAATTTTGTTTAATAGTTTTAGTTAATATATTTACAACCCCATTAGGGGAGAGGTGGGTGTGAATTTGTTGATCTTTGCTTTAATTAGTGCTCTACACTGATTCACTGATTTGCAAAAAAGAGTAAATATTGATTGTATCCAAAAATGTTTCAAATAATAGGTACTTACAATTGAATTCTTAACAATTTTTCTTAATACATTTTTTTGATATTTGCATTAATTAGTGCTCTACACTGATTCACTGATTTTCAAAAAAGAGTAAATATTGATTGTATCGAAAAATGTTTGAAATAATAGTTACTTAAAATTGAATTCTTAACAATTTTGCTTAATAGTTTGAGTTAATATATTTACAACCCCATTAGGGGAGAGGTGGGTGTCGTTTCCGTTAGGATTATGAGAATTGGGGATGCGATGTGGTGCGGGTATGTATGCCGCAGAATTTCAATAATATGTGCCGATGCGAGGTGGATCCGGTTTTGCTTCTCCACCTCGTTTCGTTCTCCTCCTCTCCGTTGTAGTAGATAGGTGGGTTCCACCTGTAATTGGAATTCCTAACGATCCCATTGTAGTGCGCCCCCCGCGGGAAAATAAGCGCGTTCAGGGCTGAAATATGGGACGAGAAGGGGCCCCTAGTTCTTACCGCAATTATCGGCCGACTTATTTATGACCATGGTCATTCTCTCTTTCGAACCATTTCGCCTTCGGCACCATTTCTTTCTTATCTAAAACCTCGTCTTATGTTAGCACACGTTTGGGAAACTTAAATTACAGCTTTTTTTTCTATTACTATAATTGTTGATTAAAGTGAAAAGTCGTTAACACATTATGGGCGTGTTGTTTTTCCTCTTTTCTTTTCTCGATCGTTTCAACCCCCGTAACCGAAAATTATACATCAAACTCGTCCGCATTTTCTACATTAATCATGTGGGTTGTCAGTGGCGACTTCTTATCGCGGGTATTAATCTCGAGCGTGGTTGGCGGACGCGAAGAGGGCGGTTTCTGTATGAAGGGGTTAAGTCCGAAAGGGGTAATTACCGAAATCGATATGGAACGGAGAACCCCATTGATAAAATTACCTGGCGGGTAAGCTGCACTTATAAAACAATTTATCTTTGTGGAGGGAGAAATTTCTGAGTTGGTAATTATGGTATACTTAGCTCAAAGAATGAAAATGAAAATGGGTTAAGGTGGTGGTGCTGATGAATTGACGTACCCTTTAATGTATGATTAATATGTTGGTAGATTACACCAAAAAGAATTCCTAATATTCCTCTTTCAAATAAAAGTTACTTGAAATAAGGTTACAAACAATTTTTCTTAATGACATTTTGTACTATTTTCATTAATTGGGACTCAACACAGATTCACTGATTTTCAAAAAAGAGTAAATTGAATCCAAAAATGTTTCAAACAGTAGTTTTTTGAAATTAGATCCTTAATAATTTTTCTATAATAATAATTCACTGATTTTCAACATAAAAGTAATTTTCGGTTATATCAAAATTTTAGTGTTTTAAGAAAATTAGTGAATCAGTGTAGAGCACTAATTAAAGCAAATATCAAAAAATTGTATTAAGAAAAATTGTTTGAAATATTATTCAATTTTTAATAAATAACTTTATTCTTAAAAATCAGAGAATCATTGAAAGGTAGAGAGCAAAACCGGATCCAAACTCTTCGAATAAAATATTACTAGCAAAAGTTTCGTCAACTTTTTACTATTTTATCCACTTGGAAATCTTCCGATACTTCCTATTTAACCCATTTTATTCATTTTTCCTCTTAATCGAGAAAGATCGGAAATTTCGTTCCCCTTTAACGGATATACTATTAAAAAAGAAAGATAAAAATCTCTGCAAGGGGGCCTAAAAGATCGTTAGATCACTCTCTCCCTATTTTTATGCATTTATAGACATCAATTTCGGGGTCGTTTATGACTGCCAAAAATTGCGTGGAAAGACGCGCCTCACGATATCTCGGCGAAAAAATCGTTTTTTATCTTATGAGGACGTAAAAGCCGGGTAATAACTCCCTAAATGAAGTTGTAAAAAAGGGAAATAAACTTTTATGTGGCGCGAGCGTTCAAAAACTCCGCGAGAATCAAGAAAACAAAGTTTTTAATAACAATTTTTTTTCTAACCGTAACGAAACGAAAGTTTTGGAATTTTTCATTTTAAAAAACTTACCTCGCAACTTGACTGGTTAATGTTGCTTAAATTAAGTCGGAAAACACGATCCCTGGAACAAAATAAAATAATTAATGTTAGATTATTTGAAATATTTCGTTAATATCTACGAAATGTTAGGATTTCTAGGAACCTCTTCCGGTTGAAACCGCAACATTCCAACATAACCGAGACGTGTACTGACCGGTATGGAATGTAGGTACAGCTCGGCATACACGATAGCTGCGTTAACTAATAATGAGCTTAATTATATTAAACGTACCGAACGCCACCGTAATTGGTAATTGGATACCTACACCATTATAAACTACGTTGAGGGGTTTGGGTATCTTTAATTTATCTCCAAAAATGCAAAAAGCTGTTTTGATAAATCACTTTCAGTTCTTGAGAAATAAATTTTTGAAATAATCGACAATTTTTTCGATGAAGAAGAAAACAATATTTATTTGGACTTATATAAAAATTATAACAATAAGAAATACGAAAAGAAATACATATATAAAATAAATATAAAAAAAGAGTCCAAAAGGGCTATAGACCTGAGTCTTCCTGCCCGTGACTTTGAATTCGGTTTGGTTGTACTTGGGTCTTCTCAGTTGGGCCTTATTTTTTTAAGAAGTGTGAGCCGTGTTAAAACAATTTCACAGTTTAAATTTTTTCGAATTTCGCAATTTTCGCGGATTAAGTTTTAAAAATTCGTATAAAATCCACGTCTTGGAATATGAGTATGAAAATTTTCCAAAGTGTTAATAAGAGTGTCCTCTTTCCAATGAACCAACTCGCTTTAAAAAATTACTTTTAGATTTTGAGAAAACAATCTTTGAAGTCTTGATAAAATTTTCGATGTTGCAATTTTCATCGATAACTTTCAAAATTCGCTATAAAATTAATTTCTCGAAGGATCCTTGTGGAAATATCACCAATTATTAATTATAGTATCCTCTTTTTAATGCAAAAAGCCGTTTTGAAAAATCACTTTTAGTTCTTGTGAAATAAATTTTTGAAATGATCGAATTTTTTCGAATTTTGCAATTTTCGCGGATTAAGTTTTAAAAATTCGTATAAAATCCATTTCTTGGAATATGAGGTTGAAAACTTCTCAAAGTGTTAATAAGAGTCTCCCCTTTTCAACGAACCAACACGATTTGAAAAACAACTTTTAGTTTTTGAGGAAACAATAAATGAAGTTTTGATAAATTTTCGATGTTGCAATTTTCATCGATAACTTGAAAAATTCGCTATAAAATTAATTTCTTGAAGGATACTTGAGAAAATATCACCAATTATTAATTATAGTATCCCCTTTTTAATGCAAAAAGCCGTTTTGAAAAATCACTTTTAGTGCTTGAGAAATAAATTTTTGAAATGTTCGACAATTTTTCGAATTTTGCAATTTTCGCCGATTAAGTTTTAAAAATTCATATAAAATGCATTTCTTGGAATATGAGTATGAAAATTTGTCAAAGTGTTAATAAGAGTCTCCTCTTTCCAATGAACGAACACGATTTGAAAAGTAACTTTTAGTTTTTGAGAAAACAATATTTGAAGTTTTGATAAAATTTTCGATGTTGCAATTTTCATCGATAATTTTCAAAATTCGCTATAAAATTAATTTCTTGAAGGATCCTTGTGGAAATATTACCAATTATTAATTAAAGTATCCTCTTTTTAATGCAAAAAGCCGTTTTGAAAAATCACTTTTGTTCTTCAGAAATAAATTTTTGAAATGATCGACAATTTTTGGAATATGAGTATGAAAATTTCCCAAAGTGCTAATAAAAGTGACCTCTCTCCAATGAACTAACCCGTTTTAAAAAATAACTTAGTTTTTGAGAAAACAATATTTGAAGTTTTGATAAAATTTTCGATGTTGCAATTTTTATCGATAATTTTCAAAATTCGCTATAAAATGAATTTCTTGAAGGATCCTTGTGTAAATATCAACAATTATTAATTATAATATCCTTTTTTTAGAGTTGCTTCGTTAATTAAATCAGCATAAAAAAAGTTCATTTTGTATCTTGGATCTAAATAAGTTGACATATCTTATCAGCTTTCTTATTAATTTCATTTTTATTAGAAATATTATTTTTATAGATATGTTGGATAACCGGATATCCGAAGGGGATGCCGATAATTCAGTATCCGGCTTTTCGCAAAATCACTATCCGTTTCATCACTAGTTCAGAGGTTCTCGGATTAGAAAAATTGGGTGCTAACTCTGTATAGGTTAGTTTTGTAGTAAAAATAACACCCAGTAACAAGTTCAAACAGTACCTATTAGAAACACTAAACATTTTACGCGTTTCACATAAAGCGTGTGGGAGTTAGGGTTTGTGTTTATTGCGGAGTGTAATTTGTGTAAAGGGTCGAAGCGTGTTTGACCCTCTCTCTAGTTGGAAGGTTAACTCTTCGGGGACGTCGCAGTTAAATTTTGTACATTTCGGACGTGTATATTTTCGTAAAGTAACTTTAAGGGTTTTGGCCCGTTTTATTATCTCGTGGGAGACGACATAATTTGAGTTAATTAGAAAACTGAGCATTATCGAAAGTTGATTATTGTGGATTAAGAAATGCTGTGTCTGCTCCGAATCCATAAAAAGAGGAAAGAAGTAAAGTCAAGGAACGCAATTAGCTGTGTTGTCCCCTGAGGTCGTTGTTGCTTACCAGACGCGAACGTGACCAAGATAACGATGGTTTTCCTTCTGGCAGAAGAGCGCGAGTCTCTCAGTCTTTGACAGGGCCCCCAAAACGTGCCGCAGCTGCTAACTACACTCCTCGTCACCTTTGAAGTTCTCCCGCTTAATTTAACAATGTTAACTATCCTCTGGAGGTGGTAATAGGAGTTAGCTGTCTACCAGCTGATTGGCGACCGAGTTCGCCGAGCTTGCGTACGCATACAAGGAATTCTTGTAAAGAGATTCAATAACCAGGTCTCCGAGACGCTGTGTCGCCAAGTTTAGTAAATTGAATCTCGGGCAAATCGTAAACCTCGATAATTCTAAGTTTAAATTGCGACTTTAAGGTTAATTGGGCCGAGCGACCTAAAAACTCTCAGTTACTACCGCTTTAGAGAGATTATTTTGAGAAGGAATCGATACCGTATGCTCACCGAGTAGTGCTTGAATAGGAATTAGAAGGAAACGCGAATGGGAACGCAGTTAAACTTACAATTAGTCGTTAGGATTTAGCGTTTTCGGCATTACCGTTTAGGGCGCAATCGGTGTGAGTAGTAAACGATAAAAGTGGGACTGTTTGTAACATTCCCTACGCGAAGTCGTTTGAACATTTTAACTTATTTTCCGAAAATTAAATTAGGAGATATCTTGATTTTCTAAAAAGAGATATCAAAGGAAATAGAGCATTTACACCTTCATTAAGGAAATCTCCTCAAAATAAGTTAATATTAAAAGTTGTGGAAGTTCAAGAGAAACGTATCATACTATTTTGAAATTCTTATCCTTTTAGATATTTTTTGTGATATAACTCATCGAAATATCTTGATTTTTTCACAAGATATCAAAGGAAATCGTCCATTTGCAACTTCATTAATTAGGACTCCTCTAAATAATGTAATGATAAAAGTTAAGGAAGTTCAATAGAAACATATTATATTATATGCATTAAATTTCCTAGAAATAAGTTAGTATTAAAAGTTGAGGAAGCCCAACAAGAATGTATCATATCATTTAGAAATTCTTATCAATTAAGCTATATTTTGTGATATAAGTCATCGATATGTTTTGATTTCTTCAAAAGATATCAAAGGAAATCGAGCATTTTCACCTTCATTAATTAAATCTCTAAATAAGTTAATATTAAAAGTTGAGGAACTTCAACATGAATGCATCATATCATTTTGAAATTGTTATCATGTCAGCTATCTTTTGTGATATAACTTATCGATGTACCTTGATTTTCTCAAAAGATATCAAAGGATATCCAGCATATTCATCTTCATTAACTAAATCTCGTCGAAATAACTTAATATTAAAAGTGGAGGATGTTCAATAAGAACGTATCATATCATTTTGAAATTATTATCAATTTAGCTATCTTTTGTGATATAACTCGTCGATATATCTTGATTTTCTCAAAAGTTCTTAAAAGAAATCGTGCATTTTCACATGGATTCATTAAACAACCTCTAAATAAGTTAATATTAGAAAGTGAGGAAGTTCAACATGAATGCATCATATCATTTTGAAATTGTTATCATGTTAGCTATCTTTTGTGATATAACTTATCGAAATACCGTGATTTTCTCAAAAGATATCAAAAGAAATCGCGCATTTTCACCTTCATTTATTCAATATCTTCTAAATAAGTAAATATTAGAAATTGAGGAAGTTCAACATGAATGCATCATATCATTTTCAAATTGTTATCATGTCAGCTATCTTTTGTGATATAACTTATTGATATACCTTGATTTTCTCAAAAGATATCAAAAGAAATCGCGCATTTTCACCTTTATTTATTCAATATCCTCCAAATAAGTTAATATTAGAAATTGAGGAAGTTCAACATGAATACATCATATCATTTTCAAATTGTTATCATGTCAGGTATCTTTTGTGATATAACTCATCGATATACCTTGATTTTCTCGAAAGTTATTAAAGGAAATCAGGCATTTTCATGATCATTAACTAAATTTCCTGGAAATAACTTAATTCTAAAAGTGGAGGAAGTGTAATAAAAACGTATCATATCATTTTAAAATTCTTATCAATTTAGCTATCTTTTGTGATATAACTCATCCATATATCTTGATTTTCTCAAAAGATATTAAGAGAAATCGTGCATTTCCACCTTCATTCATTAAATATCCTCTATACAAGTTAATATTAGAAATTGAGGAAGTTCAACATGAATGCATCATATCATTTTGAAATTGTTATCATATCAGCTATCTTTTGTGATATAACTTATCGATATATCTTGATTTTCTCAAAAGATATTAAGAGAAATCGTGCATTTCCACTTTCATTCATTAAATATCCTCTATACAAGTTAATATTAGAAATTGAGGAAGTTCAACATGAATGC